GGCATATATTCCAGAAAAATGAAAATATATGTCTCCCCAAAAGCCTCTATGCAAATGTTTACAGCAACGTTATTCATTATAGCCCAAAAGCAGAAACAATCCAAATGCCCATCAACTGGTGAATGAGGAAAATGTGGTCTATCCCTACCGTGGAACATTATTTAGCCATAACAAGGCATGAAGTGCCGATACATGCAACAACATGGATGAACCGTAACAACATGCCAGGTGTAAGAAATCGGTCACAAAACCTATTGTGTGATTCAAATTTTGTGAAATGTCCAGAATAGGCAAATCTAGAGAGAGGGAAAGTAGACCTGTGGCTGCTGAGCCTTGAGTGGGAGTGGGGAGTGGATAGAGGGTGACTGCTAATGAGGACAGGTTTCTTTTGGAAATAGCGAAAGTGGTCTGAAATCAGGTAGTGGTGACAGCTGCACAACTCTGTGTGAATATCCTAAAAATTATGGACTTGTCACTTGAATTGGTGACTTTTATAGTATATGAATTATATCTCTATAATACTCTTATGTTAAAAAAGACCACCCTTGTTGCTTGAGGTCAGTGGAGGCAGAAGGGAAGCAGGGAGGCCAGGTGACCAATAGAGCAACCTCAGGCTCAAAGGACCAGTGCTTTGAAGGCATTTGGTAAACACCCGTGGGTACCTGAACCAGCTGATCCCTGGTCAGGAATGCTCTTCTCTTCCAATCCAGCATTTCTTAACCTCTGCACTATTGACATTTGGGACAGGATAATTTTTGGTGATGAGGGCTGTCCCGTGTATTGTGGGAAGTTTAGCAGCATCTCTGGCATCTACCCACTAGACGCCAGCACTCCCCCTCCCCAAGTTGTGACAATCAAAAATAGCTCCAGACGTTGACAAATGTCTTCCAAGGGGCAAAAACGTCCCCAGTTGAGAACCATGGTTCCAACCTCCCTGGCTCACCTGGTGAATTCCTACTTATTCTTCCTGATCTATTTCAAATATCATCCCCTCTGGGCAGCCTTCACCTGCATCCCCTGAGGCCTCACAGTTTCCTAAACACCCCTGTCAAAGCCCTGAGGACCCTGCTTACACACCACTCTCCCCACACCCCACTGTCTGTAAGCTCCGTGTAGCAATGGCTTTTTTTTTTTTTTTTTGCGACAGAGTCTCACTCTGTCTCCCAGACTGGAGTGCAGTGGCACAATCTTGGCTCACTGCAACCTCTGCTTCCCGAGTTCAAGCGATTCTCCTGCCTCAGCCACCCAAGTAGCTGGGACTGCAAGCACCTGCCACCACGCCCGGCTAATTTTTGTGTATTTTTATTACAGACGGGGTTTCACCATGTTAGCCAGGCTGGTCTTGAACTCCCGAACTTGTGATCCTCCTGCCTTGACCTCCCAAAGTGCTGGGATTACAGGTGTGAGCCACTGTGTCCAGCTTGCAATGACATCTTATATATGCCTGGGTTCCCAGTATTTGGCACAAACTCTTACACTTTGGAGGTCATTGTTGTGCCATTTCTTCACCTCTACAGTGCAGGGATGCATTGCTTTTTACAGCATCTCTGTGATCCCTGCTTAAATGTTGGTTGATTGAATCTGTCAACCCTTCCTGACCCTGATTAGGAGTGTAGGCTGTGGATTTAGATGGCCAGTGTTCGAATTCTGTTAGACATTGGGCAAGTGGCTGAACGCATGTTACTCTTAGTTTCCAGTCTGAAAGTGAGACCCATAGGGTTGTCATGAGAACATAGTAAGAATACAACAAATAACAGATATTATTGATATCAATAATTTTGTATTTCTTCTAAGGGGCCTGCCAGGCCTTGACATAATTGCCCCTATTACTGACAAGCGTTCATGTGCCAGCTGCATCCTGGGTGCTGGCAAGGAGAAGACAGGTTACATCGTCCCCATCTTTAAGGAGTCCTGGGGGAGGAGCATACCTGTAAACTGTGGGGTCCTAAAAGATCTGGTTTGAATGGAATCTTGCAGGAAGAGTAGGATGGGGTTGCTAAGCAAAGGAGGGCATTGCAGGCAAGAGAAATTCCAACTGGGAAGTTTGGAGGTGGGCAAGAACACAGTTCATTCTGCCAGCTGGATGTGGATTGTTGTAGGTGGACCAGCAGAGGGTGGGTGGGTGGGGTAGCTGGAGGCGAGAAGGCTGGCCAGAGACTAGACCATCATGAGCCATGTATGCCAGTCTGAGGACTTTGGTCTTGATCCATTTGGTAATGAGGAGTCTTGGAATATTTCTGAGCAGGGGAGCAGTAGCCTCAGCTCTGTATTACCAAATTGACAATAGGATAAAAGGATGTATCAGAATTGGAGGGGATAAGATAGGAGACAAGAAGATGGTGAAAATTTCAACCTGGAAAACACTACTTGAACCCTTTTAGAGACAATTCAGTCTTTATTGTAGGCCTGAGACAGGGCACCCTCAGATACAGTGCACCCTTACTGAACCATAAGTTACCTTTTTTTCAATCAGGCACCCTCCTCCCTGCTCTCAGAACTCGAAGCCAGGTAGTCCACTAATTATTAAAGAACATGCTCATTGCATAAAATCTGGAAAGTCAAGAAAAAGTAGTCAGGGAACACATCTCCCACAACCCCACCATCCATGGGCAAACACTGTTAACACTCTTTAGCCTATTTCCTTCCAGTCTTTTTTCTAAGCTCTTGCCACATTTTTGGGACCCTGCCATCTGCATGCCAATGCAAAACATATTTCCATTCACTAAAAACTCTCAACTTTTGGTGGTCACATGTGCGTCCCCTAATTTTATTGATTCCCTACTGTTGGACATTTAGGCACTTTCTGACTGTTGACGAATATCTCTGCACATGAAAGAGGCTTTGTTCATATCTCCATCCTTTCATTTGGATGCACTCCTCTTCTTTAAAACATTTTTTGGCAAAGGAACCTCTCTAGCCTGCTGGGACACCCTTTTCCCCATCATCAGGGATTTCTTCCTCAAGTCTGAATTAAATCTTTGGGATTGGAACTTAATCCTGTTTCCCTTACTATGGGGTGTTGGCGGAGATGGACCACAGCTGGCCTTGTTTTTCCCATGGAATGTCGCCTGGGAGGGTCAGTAGTTAATCATCAGCCTAGAATGGAGAGTGGGATGTGCCTGTGAGCTCAGGAGAATTAGCCTAGACTGAGATAAATAAAGACAAGGTTAACCGGGACAAGGTGATGGAGGAAGCAAAGAAATTGGTGGACTGGGGTGAGTCAGTCTGACATCGGCATCCTATGTAGTACTGAGTAGTGACCTTCCTTCCTTCCAGACCCTGAGAGAAATCTCTTGGAAAGAGTACCCCAACCCTGCTGCCAGCCTTCAGGCTCACGTTCTCCAGTGCTTTGTAGCAGCCCTTCCTATGACACGTGGAACAAGAAGCCAGTGCTGATCGCGCACGTGCCATGTGCCAGGCCCTGTGCTATGCCACAACTTATACAGTCATATTTTGGGGCCAGCACGATACAACCAGAAGCACCCTGGAGGCGGGCAGACCTGGTTCCAGTCTCTGCACAGGCATTTCCTACCGGTGTGACCACATGGCAATCATTTACCTCTGAGAACCTCAGTTTCCTCATCTGTAAATTGGGATTTGATGGCACCAGTTTCCCAGGATTGCTGTGGTGACTCTAACCAATGCCATACTTGTAATGCACCAAGTACCCGGCCTGCAAGGAGCAGGTTCTCGAGATAAGTTATTTTCTCATGATATTGAATTCTCCTTATATCCCAGCTCAGATATAAGGAGAAAATGCCACCATCCAGACCCAGAGATGTCAAAAAATGTAATCTATCCAATTGCCTTGGATAACCTCCAGGGACAGGAAACTCATTAGTAGAGAGGAATTTATAACTTCCTTTTATAAATAAGGAAACTGAGGTGCTGAGAGATTATGCCAGGAGTCTTCACAGGACAAAAACTGCCATCTGAGAGACGTCATGTCTAGAGGAGCATCAGCCTCAGGATAGGTGTGGAGTGGAGGCTGAAGCTTCTGGGCCCTCCACATTCCCTAGGCCCTGCCCTGCTTCAAGTCCAGCCTGGCCACCACCCAGCTTCACCGACTGACCCTCTCTGGCAAAGGACACAAAGGGGACCTAGAACGTAGAAATGACTTCCCAAGAGGCAACCACCTCCAGGACTGGGCCCACCTGAGCTAGGGCATGACAGCTGCCACTGGGGGCCACCACAGCACACAGGCACTTTCCTGCTCCACCTCGTTCACCTCACAACACCTCATGGACGGGGTGGGGAGATTAGCATGGCCCTCAGGAGGAAACTGAGGCTCTCAAGCTCAAGGTCAATGCGCAAACTGGGATTCCTATCAAAAGAGGCCACTTGCTCCGCTCATCCCACAGGCGAATCCACGTCCAGATGTCCCCAGCAAGGACTCCCACCCGCTGAGCGCTGCCTGTCGTGGCTCCAGTCAAAGGTCGTCGGGCAGCAAGCCGCAGCCCAGCGGGATGAAGGCACGTCGTTCTCGTTCCCTGAGACATAGAAACCCCCTCCCCACCAGCCCTCGCCCTCCGCTGGCTTCCCTTTAGCAGAAAGTTGCTCCATGCTCCGACAGACACAACGCCGCGAGAAAATGCCACCACCCAGACCCAGGGACAAAACGGGGACTGTTTCGGCGCAAGTGGACTTTCCAAATCCACCCCTCGCGGGCAAAGAGGACATAAAGCCGAACCGGGTCCCGAGCACCGCCGCGGACTGGGACTGCATCCCGAGCTCTCAACGCCCCCTTGGGGAAGGCACAACCCCGGCGGTCACAGAGAAGGAAACTGAGGCTCACAGGCCAAGCGGAGGCACCTGCCCAAGGTCAGGCACAGCCAGGGAGCGGTGGGGCCGGGTCTCGAACCCGGGTTCGGGGCCACGACCGCCGCCGGGGATCCCGGAGCAGCCCCTCAGGCGGCTCCGCCAGCCCACGACGGGTCCCCAAGCCCGCCCGGGACCCCACCCCGCGCCGAGGCCCCGCGGGGAGGCGACGGCCGCGTTACCTGGTGCTGCTGCCGCGGGCGTTGGCTCCGCACCCGGTTCGCCTCGGTCCCGCGCCCGCGCCGGCTGCGCTCCGGGCAGGGATGGAGCGGGCGGCGCGCGCACGGCCTGCGCCCCGCGCCTCGCACCCACTTCCTCGTCTCCGCCCCCAACTCGCTCCTCCTTGCTCTCAACGCTCCTTCCCTTCCTTCCCTCTCCAAGTCTTTCTCTCTCTCTCTCTCTCTCTCTCTCAGCGCGCACACACCCACATTTTCTCCCCCAGTCTCCCTCTCCCACGGTCTCACCCACTTTCTATTTTCCGTTCTCCTTCACCCTCCCTCCTCATCTCGCCGACTCTGACACTTGCCCCTTCCTCTTCCTTTCTGACACACTGCCCCCTCTTTCTCCCCCTTTTCTCCCTGGCTCTTTCCCTCTCCCCGCCCCGCTGATTGCGAGCCCGCCCTTGACCGGACAACCGCCTGTTCCTGAGCCCCATGGTTCACCTGCGCAGATACTGGCTGAGTGGCCACAGCTGGAGACCTGCCCCGGGTGGGCGCTGGACCCAGGGGTCAGGTGGCAGCCCTCACGTTGGGTGCCCAGGGCCCAGCTAGAGTCAGGCTAGAAGGGGGAAATAACTAGTTTTGAGGAAAAGCTTTAATAATTCTGGAATCTGAAATCTAGAAACACAAATGCAGAAATTAATTAGTTCAGGGGTTATTAATTACCAAAAAAAAAAAAAAAAAAAATCAGGAAACTTCAAAAATCCTAGAGTGGCTTTGTTTTGGTAGAAGGAAGGGATGAAGAGAGAGAGAAGTAAGGAAGTGGACTTTGGGAAAAGGGGTTTTGGGGTAAGGAGAATAATACCCGCCTTCCAGATGAGAAAACGAAGGCTCAGATGGGAAAACCCGTCTCCTGAATATCAAGATATCAAGGCCACTGTGCTAACCACACAGATTTCCGTGGAGGGAGCCTGGGTGGGCAGGATGGTAAGAGATTTTCGCCAGGCCTGGACAGCAGCCCAGTGCCGGGGAGGCAGGCGGTCAGCTGGGCTGACCGGGTTTGCTTGGGGAGCCTGGTGTGTGGAGGGGGATTTCCGTGGAAGCTTGGCAAAGGATGGTGAAAACGAGGAGGGTTCAGCTAGCATGCATTTCAGACACATGCCACTACTGATTGATGCACCGCCTCAAGCCATTCTGTCACCACGGACCAGCCCTGTGCCAGGGGCTGCGAGGCAGAGGATGAGGGGCCATGGTCCCCTAGGTCTCAGTTCACAGCTTCTGGGGAGGCTATTGCTGCACTATGCATCCAAGTCATTGTCATCTTGGAATGACAAGAGCCTCCAAACTGGTCTTCTGGACGCCTCTCTTGCTCACCTGCCATTCACAAAGCAGCTCAGATAATCTCTGAAAAGTGTAAATCAGATCGTGCCTGTCTACTTCCCTGCTTCCAGACCTCCCGTGACTTCTTGCTATAGTTCAAGTAAAATCCAAGTTTCTTGTCACTGCTGAGAGGCCTCACCCTACGTGGTTTGCTAGAGCCGCCTCTCGGATCTCATCTCTCACCACTCTTTACCTCTCTCTCTGCACCTCAACCACAGTGGCTTCCTCCCCCTTCCTGGACTAGGCCAAGCAGACCATACCACAGGCCATTTGCACAGGTTGTTTTTTCTGCCGGGAAAGCTCCCCTCTGTTCCTGTAGCTGCTCGAGCATCACCTCCTCAGTGAGCCCACCCCTAACCAACTTATCTAAAGGAGTCACCTTCTTGCCTATAGTGTTTTTCACAGCAGCCCCTTTTATTGTAATTAACATATTTATCACTGCCTAAAATTAATTTGTTTTTCTTTTTTCCTTTTTTTTTTTTTTTTTTTGAGATAGTGTCTTGCTCTGTTGCCAGGCTGGAGTACAGTGGTGTGATCTCAGTTCACTGCAACCTCTGCTTCCCAGGTTCAAGCGATTCTCCTGCCTCAGCCTCCCGAGTAGCTGGGACTACAGGCGCTCACCACCACGCCCAGCTAATTTTTGTATTTTTAGTAGATATGGGGTTTCACCATATTGACCAGGTTGGTCTCGAATTCCTAACCTTGTGATCCACCTGCCTCAGCCTCCCAAAGTGCTGGGATTACAGGCGTGAGCCACCATGCCTGGCCTATTTTGTTTTTCATTTGCTTATATGCGTATTGCCTGCTTTATCTCACCGGCATACAACAGGGGAAGGATTGCAACCTTATCTGTGTTGTTCCCTGTGTCTCTGCAGAGCCTAGAACAGTACCTGGTACACAGTAGATACTCAATAAACATTCACTGAATGAGTGAATGAAAAAAATGCTATAACAAAGAGGTTTAGAAAATGAAAAAGTTGATTGACCCTGACAAAGGAAAAAGAGGATCATCTTCAAAAAGATTACTTTACAGGCCAATCCTAAAAGAAAAGCAACATTTCACAAACTGGAGAAGAGGGGAAGGGCTGTGCAGGTTGAGGTGACAGCACAGAGAAAGGTACTGAGGCGTGAGGTTCAGCACAGCTGCAAGCGAAGGTGTGGGGAACACAGATAGAACCAGGAGACAAGGCTGGAGAGGCCAGTGGGAACCTGATAGAGGGAGGCCTGGAGGACTCGGATGGCAGTTTGGACTTGATCCAGTTATCAATAAGGGGGTTATGGCAGGTCTTTAAGCAGGGGAGAGCTGAAAAGGCTGGGATGTGCGTCCTGGAGTAGAGAAGGCTCCAGTGACCTTCGTCTCTATGAAGGACCTCTGTGCAGAGGGAACAGATGAGACAGCAGCACTGAGGCTAATGGTAGAAATAGAATGAGATGCATTTCCACTCAGCAAAGAATGTGTTTTTAAAGGAGCTGAAGAGGAAAACGGGCTCCAGGGTGGTGGAATCACCATCCACGCATCTTCAGTGCTGCTCCCGGAGAGAGGTTGATGTGCCCGGGACTTGTGTAGCTACTCATGTGCTGGTAGAAATGATGTGTATTTCTTCTGAGCAGAGGCTTTAGGGCCGAGAGTGCCTGCCATGTTCCTTTCCTGTCTGCCACAGGACTGGCACCATTCAGGTGTTGTGCCAGCGAGAGGCTGCTCCATCACCTGGGTCCCAGAGTGAAACCGCAGAGGCCCAGCTGGCCCCCAGTGGACATGTGGTGTCAGTGAGAGATACTTACATTACATGTTGTAGGCCACTGCAGTTTCTAGAGTCATCTGATATTGCTGGATAGTCACGGTCCCTTGGTCTGCCTTAGTGAGTCACAGGCTTACCCAGGCTAGTTCCAGCACTCACTAGCTGTGATGGATTTTCAAAAACGAACCTGGCAATTCAGCCCAGGCTTCTTTGCAATGGAACAGCACCTCCTATGGAGAGGTGGAGTGTATTTCATTGCTCCTTGAACTTCGGACTGACCTTGAGACTTGCTCCAACCCATAGAACCCAGTAGAAGTGATGCAGTGTGGCTTCTGAGGTTAAGCCTTAAGAGACGTGGCAGCCTTGCCTTTCCCCTTCTCAGAATAATACCCAAGACCACCACGCTGTGAAGCTATCTAGGATGAAAGACCGTACGGAGAGAGGTGCCCAGCAGTCGCAGCCCTCACAGCAGACCCACTAGCTGAACGCAGCCACATGAATAAGCTCGGGGGGGCCAGCACAAGAACCACTGTTTAAAGCTGCTGGAGTGGTTTAAAGTGGTGTAAAGCTAGCTCGAGTGGTTTGTTATGCTGCAGTAAATGACTAGGTAAGTGGCGCTGGGAGAATCAGCACCCATCTTGAAGTCCATTTCCTTGGCTACAAAATAAGCATAACAGTAACGTTATCCTTGTAAAGAGACTGTTTTAAAGAGACTGTCTCTTGTAAAGAGACAATGTCTGTTGTAAAGTGTGTGGATGAGGCTCAGATTTTTTTAAAGAAAGGATATAAAATTCATTTATTCATTCAACAAACGTGTATTGAGTACCTACTGTGTATGTGTCAGGCACTGGGTCTACTCTGGGATGCAGCAACGAGCAAGATAGGCAAGGACCTGCCGTACTAGAGGTAGATGAAATGAGCCTGATAATTCCAGCTACAGATAATTGCTTTGGGGAAAGCCAACAGGGTAAAGTCCTTGAGAGTGACTGGGCTAGCACTTTGTTTAAGATACTTAGGGAAGGATTTTCTGAGCCTGTGACATTTGCACTGAGCTAGGCATTTGTAGAGAAGCGGGAGCAGCCTCCCTGTGAAGGACCAAGAAGTGCAAATGCTCCAGGGTAGGGCAAGCTTGGACTTGACAAGGAACAGGGACAAAGTCAGTGTGGCTGGGTGTATGAAGAAGAGGGACAATGGCCAGAGATGGGTTGATGCAGGGCCTTGTAGGCCATGGTAAGGTGGTGGATTTCATCTTAAATGCAATGGAGCTGTAGAGGTTCTAACAGGGTAGTGATATCCTTCACACACTGTAAAGTGATTTGCTGCTGGAAGCAGTTCATGGTTGGCCACCCATCTGATCAGGACAGCACTGTTGACCCTGTCCAGCTCTCAAAGTTTCCAATTCTGTACTAGATCTGAAAACCTTTGGAAGCTCCTAAGCATCTTCATCATAAAAGGAGTCCTTGTTGTTACGAATAACCAGAATTGAGGCTCCCTGCCTTGCTGGAGGGCTTTGGGATCTGATGGCCCAAAATCCCTTCTGGCTCTCTGTATGTAACAAGAACCATCTTTCAAAGGAAGCTGGAAGAGGCCTCTCATTCTGAGGAAATCCAAACCACTATTGGACCAAAATAGAAAAACGTACTTTCTTTGGAATGAGTAATCCCTGCTGAGTCTGACTGCTTGAAATCGGAAAACAAAACAAAATAATAACAACCAAAAACCCCCATAAACCCAACAATTAAGATACTGAATGACATGGTATGGTAATAACTTTTACCCAAGTGGTCTGTGGAAAATTCTGATAAAAACCTACTGGTTTTTGTCATTGGCTATTTCTTGTCTGCATCCTGTGCTGTGTGGTAGCTCTGGGTTTGTGGTAGGGCACCTGAACTGTGGTTGGGCTGTGTGGGTGCGGATTTCCTGGCTGTTGTGTGCTGAGAACCTTGAGAGAGGTATTGGAAAGGTCTGGGGACTGGGAGTCCCCAGATGGATACAGCTAATTCCTGCCCCATCTGTGCTATTCCGGAGACCCCAGACTTAGCTGCTTCCCCCAG